AAGCTCACGTCTTACATTCAACTACACGGCCATGGAAGCTGGTCTTCTGCCTGCAAAATCTGTTCTAAAAACCACCTCGCAATTTCTGGTGGCTTATTTTCATAATAAAATGGTAGATGATAATAGTAAGTAGATGATTAGAGACTTATCTGGTAAGGAAGATGAGTGATGCGTTTTAGGTTTTCATGAGGAAAAGGACTCCGGAGGTGTGGGAAGAGCTGCAGACTGAGATGGATTAATTATCTCAGACCTGACATCCAACGAGGCAACTTCAGCTCGCAGGAAGATCAAACCATTATTCAACTTCATTCTCTTCTCGGAAACAGGTAGCTCCCAAAAATACTTCAACTAAAAAAGAAATTAACCACATGGCAGGATATATATTTTGCCTACATGTTATTCTCATTTCAAAAATATTATTATGTTTCGCTCCAACGCACTTACAGATGGTAGGTGATAGCACATCAATTGCCAAATAGAACAGACAATGAGATCAAGAACTACTAGAACACCCGCCTTAAGAAAAGGCTCACCAGAATGGGTATCAACCCTACCACCCACAAGCCCATAAACGACTCCGTCAAGGGCGGAGCCAACCTCAGCCATATGGCTCAGTGGGAGACTGCTCGGCTGCAAGCCGAAGCCAGGCAAATCAAAGAATATTCGGAGCTTCAGATCCAAAGCCAGCTCGGCTCCTCCTCCTCTTCTCAGACACGGCTCGTCCTCAACAAGGTCACACCTCGCCCATCACCCCCTCCGTGCCTGGACGTGCTTAAGGCATGGCAGAATTCATGCTCGTCCGCCACGTCGAATCCCTCAACAGAGAACACTCCCAAAATGCATAGCATGTACGCCATGATGCTTGCCACCGACGACCTCGAGTCGCTGGTGTCGACGCTGAGCTTCCCGGACACCGTCCCTCCTAACTCCAAGCGGACGAAAAGGAATACTACTTTTGGACTGATCCATCAAAGTCTACTTCCTTCTTCCTCCACCACCGTCGCGAATGACAGTGGAATCATGAAAGGAGCAAGCAGCGACGACGGTGAAGCATGGGAAACGAAGTGCGAAGCCTGGGAGACGACGGCAATATTATGGCTGCCGTGGAAGCATTCAGATCAACAGGTTATAACTGTTAATACCATGGAAGGTCTCCGCAATGACGATGTGTATGCGTATGGATTTAATGCGATGTCTCCATCACGCCAACAAAACTTGGGAGTGTCAAATGTTGGGGATGATTGGGAAGCCATTGGTGACATTATCAATGGCTCTCCCCGATCACCTGCTTTCCCAATGATGTTGTGAGACACGTTAGAATTAGAAATATTATCTTCAGACTTTTTCTGATTGCACCATAATTAGTCATGCTGTAGTTTTGATTTGAGAAGCTTGTGTTGTCCGAATTAACTCATCGGCATGAGTGAGTCCAGGTTTAGCTCCATGATAACCTGATGTGTCTTGTATTATTATAGCCTTTTCTATGCGTTCACAACTTACTCTTTCATTTTTTTGTATGTATGTATGTATGTATAATCCCTAACATAATTGAGAGACAAATCTAGAAACGAGGGTGGTGGATTTGATGTCGATGAAGAGGGGGCATAAAAATAACTCAAATTCTTAAAAAAGAGGTGAAAAAGAATAAATAAGGGGCATAAAAATCTGGTCACATAATAGTTAAATTGATCCTAACTAAAAGTATTTGAATATTTATATTATTGCTGCATACGATCGATCAAGTTTATAACATTTGTGTGTGTGGGTGAGGGGGCAGCGCCCGCTAATTAATTGCGTCTCTGTGGCCACTTCATCAGACTATGGAAGCCTTTGAGCATTAAAACATCATTTATAATGGAAGCAGCAGATGATATAGCGAAGGCTTGAGGGTGAGAATTGAGAACAGTAGTTGCAGGAGTTCACAGTTTTCATTACAACTTCATTCTGAAGTTTGGTATAATCTTTTATTAGTTCTGTCTACAGATTGGCCTTATCTACGGATACATTATTATAACTACTACTGCTATAAATATATAATCATATGGATTAGCTTAGAAAACGCTCTGCAAAATAAATATGTGGAAAGAGTTTGTTCGAAATATTAAATTTAGTCAGTTAAGATTTTGTGCAAGTTTGATTAATAACCAAGTAGTATATATGGAGGGTCTCCATGGATGGATCAAGGGTGTGGGACAATGTGATCCTTAGCTAATGATAGGTTAACATAAATTCTCTCTTAAATTTCAAGTGGGATTTGTTGTTTGTCCTTGATAAGTGAGAGTTTTATCATGTTCGTTCTTCTTTATTTCGTAGAGTTTCACTTTGTAAAATGTAAAAATAATTATTTTAAGAGTTTCTAAATGTCTTTTTAAACTTTTGCTTATCTAATTCTATTTATAAGTTACTTCTAATATATTTTTAAGAAGCGACAAAAGGCTTGCAAAAATCATTTTGTTGCCCGTTGGCTCCTAATCTTTGAATCCATTCTACACCGCGGTGGTGTTCAATTTGTTCGAGTGGCGGGATTTGGATGACCCGAGTTATTAGGACCGGATCCAAGTTTCAAAGACCGAATGATCACAGACTGACCCAATGGGCCACTTCTCGAATGCAGATGTTGATTAAGAATCGTGGCCTAAGTGTGTATGATTTATAAGATCAGAAGAATGAGTCCATTTGGGTCCAATATATTTGCTGGCCCAAATAGTTTCCTATTAGGACTCATTCTTCTTCTTCTAACGGCAAGCCGTTTTTGAGGCAGATGGGGGAATGGGGTGTTAACTATTAACTTCTTCCTCGTTTTCTTTTTCTGGGAAAAAGGGGGGGGGGGGGGAGGTAATGTTGTGATATTTTCGGTTTTCCAACGAAGGTTTGAAGTTAATTAGATATCATAGAAAGTGTTATAAAACTATAGAAAGAGTAGAAAAATAAGAGAAGAAAATAAAAGAGAATAGAAGAGAAGAGTATTTCTCATTCCATTCAAGGTATTGAATACATGATACATAGTCTCTATTTATAAACACAGCTTTACATCTGTAATAGAATCTACAAATTACATAATAATAGAAAATAATTGTGAAATATAAAAATAATGGGAGATATTAGAGATAATGACCGATACATGGACATTCACAAAGATATTATTATATTCATAACATAAAAAGATTTATCTCGGCTAATAGTTTGCAGAAGACGGTTCCCATAGATAAGGAATTGAATTGATCCATTTTTTAAGAACAGTACTTAGATCAAATTTTTTATATTTATTATGTTAAGATTTCTAATAACCATATTTCCTTTTTTTTAATATTATCATTAAATTATAAATACATATAAAAAAAATAGAACACAACTGAGTAAAACAGACATAAAAAATATAATGTAAGCATCATGTTTTTTTAAAAACAAAACATTGCCTCCGATAACATAATAATGCTTGTTTGTTGATCCGGAAACTGCTAGTAGTACGCGTTACATGCCCAACCGATCAACATTTAGGATATGTTAAAATTGGCGAAGCATATAGTAGTAGGGTACTTGTGTTACAGTGATTCAAGTGATTCTTCAGAGTACAAATTTCTTTTAAGATAATACTTTTTGGGCACAAAATACCGTTTAGCCATTTTTCAGGTAGAACTAGAGTATCCCTAAATTATATTAGACTTAAAGCTAATCCTTTTCAGATTGGAATAGCCCTCCCAACAAATACACTTATCAATATTCAAATTTGTATTTTTCTCCTTATAACAACTTGTTAATACCTTTTAGCCCTTTTGTTAAAGCCTAAATACTTCCAACATGTGATATTGCGAGTATTTACTCATGCTTTAAACTGAAGCCCTGTAAATTTGATGAGAAGAGCGAACACAAGTAAATATAAATTTTATTGGAATCACGGGTTTGATATCAATACATTTACTCTGGTTTCAAATTTATGTACGGTTCTGATTTCTTTCTTCTCCATGCTATTCCACTCCTTCCCTCTTAATTATTCTCTCCAACATTCTTTCTTTTTCTTAATAATTTTGCAGTACACCTCATTCGATTTGCCCACATTTTTCTATTTTTTTTCCTTGGTCGGTAATCCAACACGTTTTTTTTAGTAATCAAAAGTCAAAATTTTAATGGGGTGTACCAAACCCTCTGAGTCCCTAAATTTGTATGGTCTCTCTCGCAGGTCATGTCTGAATTGGATTTCAAACAGTGACTAAACCATACTCCTTGGGTTTCAGCAAACAAAAGTGATCTTAGCATTAATTATATCGACTAATTTATTTTTTATTATAATTAAATTGATAATTAACTCATTAATAATTTGTTGGCAAAAAATTAATTCATTAAGTCTCTTTCTGTACGGATGTGTTTGAAATACATTTGTGTTTAAAAAAAATTACTACATTCATATGTTTAAATAAATTCATCATTTAAAGTTTTTTAAGTTATAAAATTAACAAAAGTGTAAAATAAATGTATTAAAATTATTTTTTATATGACGGGTATTCAAATAATCTTTCAATAAAAATTATTTCAAAAGGGGTGGAAATTATGTAATTTAATTGTCAGTTAACATTTGAATGGATAAAAATATAATCTTGAAAATAAAGAGGGGTTGGTTTCTATGAACATACCTTTTGAATTTTAGAGAAGTGTATATAACTTCTCAAATTTAAAAGGAAGTTTTGATAGTAGTTAAAATGAAATAGAAAGGGAGGACAATATAAGTTTAGGTCATATCTATGACTTTCTTCATCTACCTGTATTTCCTTTCTCCAGCTAACTCCACTCTCTGATCGTCTCTTAGCTCTCTCTCTCTCTCTAGCATATTTTTCGAAGGATCTAAAAGTGAATATATCCTATATATATATATATATATATATATATAATATCTCCCCGACCTGCAGCTTTCTTTCACCTCGCTTAATATCTGTTTCATAGCCCGCTCTTTCTCTTGTGCTTATACATCGTTCTAGTTTCTTCTGGCATTTCCTGGAAACTATATAATGGTGAAGTCATCGTCGTGCTGTGAGAAACTAGGAGGGTTAAAGAAAGGACCATGGACTCCTGAAGAAGACCAGAAGCTGGTGGCTTATATTCATCAACGTGGCCAAGGAAGCTGGTCTTCCTTGCCAGCAAAAGCTGGTAATTAACTGATTTCCCTATCTCTTGTTTCACACACAGACATGCGCCTCGAAATATCCTATTGCTAACTTCTTTTCATCATCCGACTGTTACGAGAAATCAATAGAATAAAATTTCACTACCTGAAAGACTACTTTTTTTTTGAGTTACAGCATAATGATGGTACATGATAATAAGTAGATAATTAAACATTTTATCTATCTGTTAAAGAAGACGAAGAATACTTTGTACGTTTTGGTGACCAAAAAGGAGTCAGGAGATGTGAGTAGCTCCCATATACTCACTTTTGACTCTTCATTTTCGATCTCTTCAGTTCTTTAAACACCTGATATGTACTCACACTCCTAAATAATCTGTATTCTTAATGTCTTCCTGGTGAGGAATTCTGCATAGACAAGGCTCAGCTAGAAGAATTTTTGCGTGTGTGTGTGTGTAACGACTAATTTGCAGGGCTTCGGAGATGTGGGAAGAGCTGCAGATTGAGGTGGACTAATTACTTAAGACCTGATATAAAACGAGGCAAGTTCAGTTTGAAGGAAGATCAAATCATTATTCAACTTCACGCTCTTCTTGGAAACAGGTAATTATAAGCGTCAACCGTAATCATTCCATGCATGTTAATCAGATAGTTTCCTAATAAAGAAGTAAACATGTCATGAGAATATCATATTTTACCTTTCTATTATAGTACACTTTCTTTCTTCATAAATATTATGATTACTAAATATAGTTTTCATCGGGTTTATTTTGTCATGCACGTTCAAGATGGTCGGTGATAGCTCATCATTTGCCAAAGAGAACAGACAACGAGATCAAGAACCACTGGAACACCCGCCTTAAGAAGAGGCTCACCAGAATGGGTATCGACCCCAACACCCACAAGCCCATCAACGAAGCCGCCAACCTCTGCCATATGGCTCAGTGGGAGATTGCTCGGCTCCAAGCCGAAGCCAGACAAGTCAAAGAACATTCCAAACTTCAGCTCCAGAACCAGCTCGGCTCCTCCTCCTCTTCCCACCAGCCTTCAGTGACTCGGCTCGTCCTCAACAAGGTCACACCTCGCCCATCGCCACCTCCCTGCCTCGACGTGCTCAAGGCATGGCAGAATTCATGGTCGTCCGCCACGTCGAAGCCCTCAACAGAGAACACCCCCAAAACGCATAGCATGTACGCTATGATGCTCGCCACCGACGACTTCGAGTCACCGTCGTCCATGTTGAGCTTCCCGGACACCGCCCCTCTCAATAACTCCGAATGTACCAACAGTAATACTACCTTTGGGCTGATCAATCAAATTTTACTTCCTTCCTTCTCCACCACCATCGTCGCAAATGATGGTGGAACCATGACTGGGCAAAGCGACAGTGAAGCATGGGGAAACAAGGTGCGATGCTTGGGAGACGACTGCAATATTACGGCGGCAGTGGAAGCATTCAGATCAACAGGGTATAACTGTAATTCCATGGAAGGTCTCCTTAATGACGACTTCTTGGTGTGTGGACATAATGAGATGTCTCCATCGCCGCAACAAAACTTGGGACCGTCGGGTGTTGGAGATGACTGGGAAGCCATTGTTGACCTGATCAAAGGTTCGCACCCATCACCTGCTTTCCCAGTGTTGTGAAACCCGTACGTTGAGGAATATTTAGACCTTTTTTTTTTTTTTTTGCCATGAGAAATATTTAGAGTTTTGCTGATTAGTGTTGGACCATAATTAGCCATGCATGTTTGACGTAGTTTTAATTTGAGAAGGTTGCGCTGTCTGAATTGACTCGTCGGAATAAGCATATTATTGTGAGTCTAGGTTTAGCTTCGTGATAACCTGTGTTTTATGTTATTACGCCTTTTTATATGTATTCACAAGTTACTCTTTCTTATATATATAATTCCTAAATATGAGATACTGGTTAATATAATTGGAGTTATATATATATATATATATGTGGAGTTATCCATTAAGGTTATTTGAAAGGATATTTGCTCATTAGAATGAGGATTTATTTGGTTATTGATTTTAAGTTTAAATTTGAATTACTATTTTTCCCTTATTTTAGGGCTCTATAAATAATCCTAGAATTTCTCAATTGTATTCAAACTTAATTATTGAATAAAATATTCATATTTCCCTGGCATTTCCTTTACTCTTTCATCTCTATATACTTATTCCTTCCTTCCTCACGAGTCACGACATGATGATAAAGCCTTTGAACTCCAAAAGATTTGTACCATCTTCATTATTCATGAAATTGACAAGCAAAGGTTGCAATCCCACCCTATATAGCCATTTCACCCGAAAAAGTTTGGTTTGTAGCGGATGAACATTGGTGGAGTTAGGGAAGAAGACGGTATAGAAAAGAAGAAAAATGACAGCATGAGATCTACATGCATCATTTCCATTAGATGTGATACTAATAAGAATTGAGTTATAAATTTAGTGAAACTATAAAAATTGAGTCGCAACAAGTTGAATTATAAGATTTGAGTCATACAACTGGTGAAACTGTAATAATTAATTTTTTTAATAGTCAAATATAAAGTTGTCATAACGTGAACAATTGTTGATGAACCAATTGGGAAATCATATGTAAAACAAGAAAGAAGTTTGCTCTTTTACAAATGGGAAGCCAGGGCTTCGTACAACTTAATTCAAAAGTTTGCAAGTTTCTTCAGATGTCGAGGGATTTTTGAAAGAGCCAAGAGTGATGTTACTCATCATTTATAATATTATTCTTTTAGCTTTTTGAATTGCGAAATCACTGATTAAGATTTTATAATCAAGCGATTTTAACATTTTATTTGTAATTAATAATACGGATAACCTATTCAATCTGTATTATAATATTAATATAGTTGATCTTTAACATGACTTAATCAATTTTAATTTTAAATATTTCTTTTAATAATATTAATTGTTACAGGTATACTGTTAAGAAATATGTTCTATAAGGATTAACGCATGTATTCGAAAAAGAATATAATCTTTTCCATTCGGTTCAACACCAGGAGTATTAGTTTTTTTTTTTTTAATCGAACTTCTGTCAATACCCTTAGTTCAAAAAACATGAAGACTATCAATATCATTATGTCAACTAAAACTTAAAAATTTACAAAACTAATACAATAGTTTTTCAATTCATTCTCATCTAAAGTTTTCACTTAAATAAAAAACCAAAAATAGTTTCATATATTACACGTATAATTACAATGGACAATTAGGTAGTTTTATATATAATCAAACTTACATTGATTTCCCCGAAAAAGGTCCATGATCCTATGTGATAATGAACACTACTTATCCGGATTAAACAGATTACTTATAGTGATTTTCTAGTATTACCTCTAGTTTTAAATATAAGAGCTAATTGACTAATTTGAGTAGATTAAAAAAATAAGTTAAGTTAGTTATTCGTAATAAGTATGTGTTGTGTTTTTCTAAAATATCCTTCTTAATCAAATGTATTGATTAGAACCATCATATTTAGAAGGATTAACTTGTACAAAATACATAAATATAAAAAACAAATTGGATTGAGATCTTATACTTATGAGTAAAATAAAAGTCAAATGAAATCTTATATTAAATAACAGAGGTAGTTCACTACTTATCAGCGTCCTATACAGCTCTTTGGGAACTGCATAATTAATTTGGATCTTTTAGTGGGGAAACAAAGGAGTTAAAATTATTAAATCTTGCCATACATAAGTACGGAGCACGTGCAGAAACCTTAGGGCAGGGAACAACTTTAATGAGACGCAATGATGGGAGCAGCAGATAAAACAAGGCTTTCGATTTCCGGGGGTAAAACAATAGGAGCGTAAGGAGTCATCTTTTATAGCAAATTATGAAGTTTCGTGCAATATTTTATGGCATGCAGATGAATCCCATTCAATTTTTTTTCTAATAACATGGCCAATTATATTAAATGACAAAACAAAGGTACATAAAGATAAGGCAGACATAAAATAGTTAGCACACATTGAATACCAACTTAAAAATGAGTAGAGATTGCCCTTTTTTTTCCCCTTCCTATTTTTTCTCCCCTTCTTATGTCAATTTTCTTTTCCTTTCTTTGTTTTTAATTTGGGTTTTGAGAGTGATACTCCTCGAATATTGTTCCGGAAATTATTTTTTTTAAAATACATATTGTTCTGCAAATTATTTTTTTAAAAATGTATATATATTAAATGTGGATAAAATTAAAATTTATTAAATTTTAACACATGATTAATAAAATTTAAAAGTTTTCCTAATTATAATAAAATATGTTAACAGTTCCTATAAACTAGATCATAAAATTACGCGTTTTGGGTTGGAGGAGGGGGAGGTAGCATCAATGACAACATATACTACCTCTAATTCTTAATATAATATCTACTTCACTAATTTAATTAAAAAATTAGTTAAATTAATTATTAATTTTAAAATAGAAAACTCCCTTGCCACGTATAATTCATAGAGATAGTATTGAAAATTCAATCGTAAGTATGAAAAACAAAATAAATTAAAAAGCAGGAAATTTAGTTAAAAGTTCTTATTTGAAAATATAATTGGCTAAAATGATCTATATTTGAGTGAGTGTAATTTTTTTTTTTTGCTATATGTAACATATCATCAATATAATGATGTGCAACAATATATCAAGATGGAAATTATTTACATATAGCGAAAAATATATTGCACATAGTAAAATAAATTTATACTCATAGATCATAATTACACGCACTTAAAATTTTTTTTAGCCAATTAAATTTTTAAACAGTGATTTTTACCAAAATTTCCTGAAAAAATCTTATATTTATAATTAAATTTAACATTCAATTAACTCTTATATCCGACTCAGAGGTAGTATTATTTAAGGATTCTTCTGTCACGTGGACAAGCAGGACAATCGTGATTATTTTGGGGCAAGTGCGGATGCTGAAGAGATGGAACTCGACCGTTGGGAATCATACGTGGCTATAGCCCCTTTTATTACCAAACAAGGGTTCTCGCCAATATAAATGGAATCAAAATTATAAAAAGACACCAAAAAAATAAAGCAATATGAGAATGCAGAACTGGAAATATGGGATTTATAAGTGTTTTCGGTCCTCCTTCTATTGGGTCATCAATTCTCCCTTCTTCTTATCAAGTAATCGATCACTTCAAGTCTTGGCTTCTATCAAACAATTTGCTCAGCTTAATTAGCATCCGTAGACACAAAACTAATAAGATTATCTTGAAGAACATCATCTCTTTTTGTCAAATATTCGCTCATTTAGATGTAGTAGTATGTAGTACTTTTCATTGTATTATTTAAATTTTCTCATTTTATTCGACTTTAGTTCTATGCATACTTTCTTTTATTTTTAATGTTATTTGATCTTTTTTCCAAACCAAAGAAAAAAAACTGGAATATAGGACAAGACATACTGAGGCTTATTTTAAATATTTAGGACCCTTCAATAAAATTATTTAGAATATACCCTAGAGTCCTAGATTAATTAGGATTTAATTGAATTTTCTTATTATTACCTATCTTAAGATTATTTTAAATTCAACTTTTATTTATTATTTTGAATAAAATAAGGTATCTCCCTCATCTAGATTATCTTATCATCTCCCTCCTTTTACCCTTACCTCGTAAGTTATTATTAATGCCTTTCTAGAAAAGAAAATTCATAAAAATGAAAAATTGAAGTCTTCCATAATTTTGAAGAAATGGTAATGATGATGGTCAGAATTTTCGGTGCATTCATTAATATGTATAATAATTCACATCTTCGTTCATTAATACATAAACCACCTGGGGACCCTCGAAGCCTTGAGGACTGAAACATCTTTAATGATCAAGTGAGAGCAACAGCGCAGTGGGTAATCTACAAGACTTCTCCTTTTCATTAACCGGATCATCTTGATTAAAAAGTTACTCAAAAATAATTAGAGATAATAAATATGTAAAATTATTATTTATAGGGAGAATAAGTATAAGAGAGACAATAAAAAAAGAGTAGTAGAATAAAAAGAATTTAACAAGGTTAGTTTCACACAATATAACGAACTAAAATTTAAATATTTCTAATAGAGGGATATTTGTTTTTAACAAAAAAAAAATTATGAACAAGAGAAAACATGTGGGAGAAGGAGAGTATGAGTGGAAGAAAAATGATGCTTGACCTATGATAATAAATGCATTAAAATTAAAATGAGTAATTAGATGATGACAAAATGATAAATTGGAAAAAAAACTCTAAATATTTCTTACTAATAAAAATAAGCTATAAATAATAATTATTTCTTTTAAAAAGAGGATGGACTTATTTTTATGTTAGCAGAAAGAAAAAAATCTATCTTCGCATTATCATCATCTAAATTCGTTTCATAATTTTCTTCTTAGTTATTCCTTTTTTTATATGTACATATTTATTTTTCTCACCTATATCTTGTCTTATAGCAACCTTTGCATTTGCTATCCTTATGTCTGAACTGACCTGCCGGACAATTATCGATTCTTCCGTACACCTGGAGGACGATTATTTATTTCTTGGCAGGGTGGTAATGATGAAGGACATATTTTATTAGAATATTATTAAAAATTTTGTAAGTTTAATGTATGTATTTTTACCCAAGTTGTTCAAACTCTA